CGTTGTAGGATGACCCTAAGATACCTGCGAACAGAGAACACGTGAACTAGGCCGGGGGTCGATCCGACTGAAACGCCTCCGACGCTCAAGTCAGACGCGCAGATTGTAGGAAATAGTTGAGAGAATATGACTTGTAGTCTTATTCTAATAATAGGGCGTACCTTTAATAATTGAATTATATCTTTATTTATACCTTGTCGATCGTGCTGCGGTTAATTTGTTGGGCCCAAATCATATTTAAAGGTGATTGGGCTTTCGTAATAGTATTCTTCTAAATCGGGCTCGTGGCCCAGTACGTAGAGAAATAGTAGGCTAATTGGGCTGGCCCAATTAGGCATATCATTAGCCCCCACTCACGAGTCGATATGGGAGCCAAGTCGAAAAGGGTACCGGATCGTGTCATGGCGTAGAACTTTTCAAGGTAGTCTTGTGGGTCACTAGTTCCATCGAACTGTGGTAGACTCGAGACCTTTACCCGTTGGGGTAGTATCTCATTGATTATTGCGACAGTGAAGGGATTGCACCTTATTGGAGGTATTGCCCTTCCACCAATAGGATTATCTATGTGGGGAAGGTGATTTGAGCGAGATAGCCACTGTTAATTTCATCATCTGCAGCATTGTGTGGAGGTACTCGTTGGCAGAAGACGTTGCCTCTTGAAGGTGAACGTGGGTCTTGTCGCCCAATTCGTGCATTATGGCGATGAGTAGATTGTTGCATCCGAGACCTAGGGTCTGAGGTGGATGTGTTATCCGGTGGTGGTGGAGGTCGTTGTGCCACGGGTGGAGATGAGCGTTGACTCCCGTTGTGGCGATGTATTGTGCCACTGCTTCATTAGCAGCTCGAGCTGAAGCTTCCGCAATCATGTGTTGGAGGGCCTCTTCGATTATTTGAACCGTTCAAGGAGCGGGGAATGGTGGATCATGCGGGTGATTTATCTGGACCTCATGAGGTGGATCCTGATTAGTCGGAAGAAGTGCCAAGCCAGAGCCTCCACGAGGTGGGAGGTTGTTAGCATTGGCATGTTCTCTCTAAGTAGATGTCTCAAGGACACCATGCGCGCTACGTGATCTTGTATGCTTTCCCACAGACGGCGCCATTATAATGATGGTAGTAATAGATCACCTTAAGTAGTTGAGACCGAAGGACCTGGGAGAGCAAAGTGGATCACCGCTCACGTGCTAGATGACCCTGAGATAGCTGCGAATAGAAAACATACGTGAACCGGGCCGGGGGTTGAACGAGCCAGAGGCCGGCGGAAACCCCTCCGACGCTCAAGTCAGATGTACGAATTATAGGAAATACTTGAGAGTATATGACTTGTAGTCTTGTTGAGATAATACGGAGCACCTTTAATAAATGAATTATATCGTTATTTATACCTTGTCCATTGGGCTGCGATTAATTTTTTGGGCTCAAATCTAATTTGAAGGTGATTGAGCTCTCGTAACAGTATTTTTCTAAATCGGGCTCGTGGCACAGTACGTATATATATTATATATATATATATATATATCCCTACCAACTATAAAAGTATGAATGTTTTTTTTTCTTAACATTTATGTGCTTCCTATTATGCCCTTTGTAAACTAACTTACACCATTAATTAGTTATGGTTAATTGTGTAATAAGCATAATGAAATAACAAATTAATAGTAAAATAATATTGTTTAAATATCTAATGTCTTTTCATATGCTCAAATATTTACACAAGTTCGTTGATTTTCTTATTTTTGTAATTTTTTCTACATAATATTTTTTAGATAAAATAACTTCGTCTTAAACTAGATTCGAAGAGTTTTACAATCACATACTATAAGCATATATGTAGAAATTTGTTTTTCGTTTTACACATAAAGTAGTTTCGAATTTTAAATTAATTATTAGATTATATTTATTACGTATATTCCACAAATATGATAATATGATATTGTTTTATGTATCTTACATTTTCGAATATAATATTTTATGTAAAATAAAATGGTATTGAAACATGACTACTATTGTTAAAAAATACATGAAATTTAAACAAGCATATGTCAATCATAAATTTAAAGGTAAGGATTAATTAAACAAAAACACTTTGCAGACTCGAAATATACACTTTGGAACTTTGCACACCCAAAAAAATTAATAACACATTGCACCCTTAAAAGATTAAATGATTCACACAGCAACCCCCAATTGATATTTTATTAAAATTAAAAATATTTTAAATTTTATTTTAGATAACAAAATTTAATTTTCAAGTAATTTTAGCAAGAAAATAATTTAATAGTGAATGAAATAAACAATTACATAAAATAAGTACTACTGCATAGATAAAAATATCCTCAATAATTACACCGATACAAAAGTATTTGTCATCTTTGTACTGAGTTTTAGAATTATAATTTTTCCACCCTTCAACTACTTTGTCACAAAATTACATAAAAAAAAAATCATACAAAAAAAAAAGAACAAAAGAACAATATATTTTTACCAATTCCAAGAAAATTAAAGATATACCTATTCAATAATTTCACACTTTAATTATGAAAATTATTTTATTTAAATTACATTTGATCACTCCAAAGAAAATTATCATTTCAAAATGCCACTAAAAGATGAAATTATCCTCATTAACCTTAAAATTTAAATAGGATGCAATGCGAATGATTTAATTCCTTTCGAGATTTTTTTTGGGGGAGCCAAGTGCATAAATGATACATTCCGAGGGTACAAAATAGAAACAAGCAAAATATTTAATTTAATTTATGTTATATATTTTTAAATAGTATTAATTTTCTAATATAATTTCTCTATAAAAAATATCTTATAAAAATATTTATTTTGTTATTAGTAATTAAATAATTAAAAGTATACTTAAGAGGAGCATCTTTAATATAATATTTATTTATTTTTAAATATGAGATTTACGGTGTATATGTATGTAATTAGATTTGATCTCAGGAGAGATCACTATAATTATTCAATATATGGTCAAGGGTAAACATATAGTTTAAAAAACATCAATGGTCACTATAATTACTGAATTATCTTTTCTTTGTAAGAAAATTATTGGTGAAACTGAAGATCGATAACTATTATGACTCCAGTAACAAAACATATCTCACTTAAAGTTTCAACAATAACAAAAAATAATATGATGATGATATTATAACACCAAGGTAACAATAAAATTATGAATTATGCACTGATTATATTACCCATAAGTAGTAAATTGAATATTATTATACGTGATTAACATGTCTTATATGAATTGGCTAACTCAAGATACTTGAATAAATATGCATGTCCAATTGTATTTAGTTGTCTCTACCTCCCTGTTTTTTAATTATTACTATTTTATAATTCATATCTTCATTTAGCGATATTGATTTCGATCTTGAAAGTCGAAAATACTTAATTCACATGCTATTGGATAATATAATATTTTGGGTAAATTACAAACACCCCCCTGAGGTATGGTCAAATTACAAAAACACCCCTCTTGTTTGGATAA